CCAATGGAGGTCAACCTGCTTTAGCTGGAATGCAACAAATGGACTCGTATCGACTCCAGGCGGTGTAGCGTGTAGCCTCATGCGGTGTAGCCTCAAGCGCCCGCGCGCGGGGCACGGTTTATGAAATCCAAATGTGATGGCTTCATCCGTGGAAAACCACGGGAGGCAAATGGGAAGTGGAAGAAACTTTGTGCATGGTATCAGTCTGAATGGGAAATGAGCATGTCCGTTTGTGGACATACTCAGAGCGGGCATTGCTTAGATGAGTGTCGATGTCCACAATCATTTTGATTGGAAATTCCCACGAAACTCCTAACTCTCCCCGTCTCTCTCTGTCAACACAGACACACTGCCCTGCAAACAACAAGTTTCTTCTTGCATTGCAAACAGCACCCAGGTCGGCATCCCGGTCTTCATTTTGGACGTGATGGCTTTTGAGGGCAAATTCAATGGTTTCAAAGAGGAAAGAGCCAGCGAAGAAAGACGATCTTAGGGCTTACCACAACCAAGAAGGGTTGCTTTCACCATGGGCGTTTCTTTCGTGCGCTTCAAGGTTTTTGGAATTGGCTTTGGCAGCTGGATCCTTGGACCAATGGAGATGGGTTGGAACCTTCAAGATTTGAGTTTTCCTTGGACCCTCTAACCTAAGAAAATGGAACAGCAACCAGGAGCTATTGCCGGCAGCGTTGGCCGTTAGCCCAGTCGATCCCATTTGCGCCGTCGCCTGGTTAGCGACGTCTCGGCGGCTGGTCCAGAGCCTCTTGGACCCATTTTAAGTCCGAACTTATGGATTCAGGACCCTTCCAAAAGAGCTCCTCCCCGATTCACCGGCTTTAGTTTGGCTCCCCATGATCAGCACGGGACTTGGGAATGTTCAAGCCCTCAACCAGCAGACGCTGAGTGTTTCCAGCACGTGCACTCTGGCCCAAAGCTTGCAATCTTTTGATTGCCGGATTTTAAAGTAATTTGGTGTCCTTCCTGGTGGTCTCCTTTTGGATTCCATTATACACCATCGAACTTTTGGGTCCCCTATTTTGACACACTCCCATTGATACTCAAGTCTGCCATGGAATACTCTTTCTTTTGGACTTGCCACGTTGGATGTCTCGCTTTGGCTTGCGGAGTGGGCGTGGAATTCGCGAGTCGACTCGCCAAAGGCGAGCGAAGCCCAAGACTCGTCCCAAGCGGCCCGAGACAAAAAGGCCAAATGGTTGCAAGGCCGGGCGGGAGGGGAGGAGGCCCCCGGCTTGCATTGTGCGGTTTATTGGTGGACGAGTAGGCTTCAGATCTTCACGATGTGTGAACAGCATTGAAGTAGGGCCCTTTTGGAAGTCCAACCGAATGCTTTCCGACAAGCGTGCTCGTTTTGTTAGTTTCTGGTTTGAACTCCAGTTGTTCCTTTCTTCGTTTGGGAGCGAAACCAACTGGTCAAAAAAAAGTCCAGCCTGGAACACAGGCGAACCTCAACCCTCCCTGACAGCGCCAGAGCTTATTTGGGTACCGACAGCTATGATAAACCCAGGTGGCGCCTTTAACATTTCGGGCGGACCTTGCGTGGACGCCATGTGGCGGCTTCTTGTGGCCCATGCCGCGCTGGCTGCTGACACGCCCCACCCTCGGCGGTTCGGGCCGGAAGCCGGCTCGTGGTTTAGGGAAGCCAAGAGGAAACTTCAAGCGAAGGGGTACCCCGATTTGGAGACAAGCTGAAATGACCAAATGACCAAATGACCAAATGACCAAATGACCAAATGACCAAATGACCAAATGACCAAATCACCAAATCACCAAATCACCAAATCACCAAATCACCAAATCACCAAATCACCAAATCACCAAATCACCAAATCACCAAATCACCAAATCACCAAATCACCAAATCACCAAATCACCAAATCACCAAATCACCAAATCACCAAATCACCAAATCACCAAATCACCAAATCAAATCACCAAATCACCAAATCACCAAATCACCAAATCACCAAATCACCAAATCACCAAATCACCAAATCACCAAATCACCAAATCACCAAATCACCAAATCACCAAATCACCAAATCACCAAATCACCAAATCACCAAATCACCAAATCACCAAATCACCAAATCACCAAATCACCAAATCACCAAATCACCAAATCACCAAATCACCAAATCACCAATCACCAAATCACCAAATCACCAAATCACCAAATCACCAAATCACCAAATCACCAAATCACCAAATCACCAAATCACCAAATCACCAAATCACCAAATCACCAAATCACCAATTCACCAAATCACCAAATCACCAAATCACCAAATCACCAAATCACCAAATCACCAAATCACCAAATCACCAAATCACCAAATCACCAAATCACCAAATCACCAAATCACCAAATCACCAAATCACCAAATCACCAAATCACCAAATCACCAAATCACCAAATCACCAAATCACCAAATAACCAAATCACCAAATCACCAAATCACCAAATCACCAAATCACCAAATCACCAAATCACCAAATCACCAAATCACCAAATCACCAAATCACCAAATCACCAAATCACCAAATCACCAAATCACCAAATCACCAAATCACCAAATCACCAAATCACCAAATCACCAAATCACCAAATCACCAAATCACCAAATCACCAAATCACCAAATCACCAAATCACCAAATCACCAAATCACCAAATCACCAAATCACCAAATCACCAAATGACCAAATCACCAAATCACCAAATCACCAAATCACCAAATCACCAAATCACCAAATCACCAAATCACCAAATCACCAAATGTCCAAATGACCAAATCACCAAATCACCAAATCACCAAATCACCAAATCACCAAATCACCAAATCACCAAATCACCAAATCACCAAATCACCAAATCACCAAATCACCAAATCACCAAATCACCAAATCACCAAATCACCAAATCACCAAATCACCAAATCACCAAATCACCAAATCACCAAATCACCAAATCACCAAATCACCAAATCACCAAATCACCAAATCACCAAATCACCAAATGTCCAAATGACCAAATCACCAAATCACCAAATCACCAAATCACCAAATCACCAAATCACCAAATCACCAAATCACCAAATCACCAAATCACCAAATGTCCAAATCACCAAATCACCAAATCACCAAATCACCAAATCACCAAATCACCAAATCACCAAATCACCAAATCACCAAATCACCAAATCACCAAATCACCAAATCACCAAATCACCAAATCACCAAATCACCAAATCACCAAATCACCAAATCACCAAATCACCAAATCACCAAATCACCAAACGACCAAACGACCAAACGACCAAACGACCAAACGACCAAACGACCAAACCACCAAATCACCAAATCACCAAATCACCAAATCACCAAATCACCAAATCACCAAATCACCAAATCACCAAATCACCAAATCACCAAATCACCAAATCACCAAACGACCAAACGACCAAACGACCAAACGACCAAACGACCAAATGACCAAATGACCAAATCACCAAATGACCAAATGACCAAACCCAAATCACCAAATCACCAAATCACCAAACCACCAAATCACCAAATCACCAAATCACCAAATCACCAAATCACCTAAATCACCAAATCACCAAATCACCAAATCACCAAATGACCAAATGACCAAATCACCAAATCACCAAATCACCAAATCACCAAATCACCAAATCACCAAATCACCAAATCACCAAATCACCAAATCACCAAATCACCAAATCACCACCAAATCACCAAATCACCAAATCACCAAATCACCAAATCACCAAATCACCAAATCACCAAATCACCAAATCACCAAATCACCAAATCACCAAATCACCAAATCACCAAATCACCAAATGACCAAATGACCAAATGACCAAATGACCAAATGACCTTCATATACCTTCATATTCTCCAAGGCCTTCGGCCCCATCGCGTCCTCGTCTTTTGAACTCCTCGAAGAACTCCCTGGTTGCCAAGAGGTTTCGTGTCACGACCCGAACCCGCTACACAAAGGTGGCGTGCTTGGAACCCAACTTTTGACTGGGTACTCCATTGAGGGTTGTTTCAGAGGGAGACAAGCACGTTTCTGGAACCCCTGCTCGCATCCAGCAGCTTTCAATCAGATCAAGCATAATCATGATGCTGCAGCTGTTGATATTTCTCCTACCCAAAGCCTTCAAATGACCTGAAGTCTTGCCTTTAATCAATCCACTCTGTGCATTTCAGAGTTGAGTTGACTCAACCCTTGGTGATTTCCCTACTCTTAAGCTAGTGTGAGGGATTTACCAAACGTAAACCCTTGACGTCCGACAAAACAGCCGAGCAGCACGACCAAACAAATCAGAGGCAAGCAATAGGTGCAAACAAATCAGCAGAGGAAGACGGGTAAACCACCAGCACAAACCAAACGTGGTGTGTGTTCTTTGCTTCGGATCCCTCCGCTTTCCTAGCAGAAAGAAGAACGGATCAACCCAACATATCTTCCAACTTTTGGCTTCCCTCGGAGTTGGCTCCTGCAAAACATCCTGTTGAGAGGCAATGGATGAATTTCTCTTTGAAAACATTAGGGACCTGGCTGGAAAGATGCTGACTTCTCGGAGGGACAGGCACATGTTCATTTTAGTGTCAGTTGTTTTCGGGCGGGATTCCCCTACTTCTCTTGAGTCCCTACCAATATTCGCCCTCCACACAACTTCGCTCCCCCTCGGAGCGCGCCCGCGCCCGCGTGAGCGAGGTCGTACATCCGCTGGGTGGCGCCATTGGAGGGGGAGGTGCCTTCCGAGAGTCACCTGCACTGCGAGGTCATGGCGTGGTTGGACGACCACCTCCGCAGATGCCTCAGGGGCTGCGAGGGGGGGGGGGAGAGCCACATCCTCGAAACCCGGATGAAGGTTGTGAGATAGTCGCAGCTAGACAAACATTGGCAGCGAGAACCGTCCTCTTAATTATCTGGGTTTGGGTAGACCACTCAGTATTCGTCCTGATTCTGACTCATTCACTTACAGAATACCATCAACAAAATCGGTGGTCGTCAATTCCGTGTCGATACGTGTCATTTCGTGTCCGCCAAAGGGCGCTCCTATTGAAACTCATGCCCAAAATGGAAACAACCGTTTGGAGAGTCCCCAGTCAAGCAGCTTCGTTTTTCCAGACACTTCACCCAAGTTTTCACAGTTGCCGGGGGAACAAATGCAACTGGTGATACAGACCTTCAAGTTTGGACAGGGGCTGTCCGGCTTTGGCTCGCCGAGGCGAGCAGCTGGATGTCTCGATTTGCATCCAGGCGGATTCGGGCGTGTGAGGGGATTTTGGATCCGAAGTGAGGTTCAATGCTTGGAACTTTTTGGGAGAATGCGTCGTGCAAATATTTGCGATGTACATCACGTCAAAGAGAGTGCAATTGGGTGAAAGCAGATGGCACAACCTCCCCATTTAGGTGGCACAACCTCCCCATTTAGGTTTGTCATTGAGAGAAAGGGAATGCCGACTTTCACCCTATCAAAATGTGTTCGTTCTTTTTCCAGCCACTGACCTTGTTTTTTCCGTTCACAGCGCAGTCGGGGTGCCTTGGAGCACCACTTCTGAGCCGCGGAAAGGCATCAAAATGGGATAGGAATGTGGTTGACACATGGAAGCCACGCCTAAGGAATGCAACGAATCACATGAAGGCAAAGCGAGACTGCCTCAGGCCACTCAGGCCATCAAATGACAACTCTTAGGTCAATAGATGCACCGAAATTCAAACTTAGGACGTTTCCCTCCGCAAAACGCAACATCTGCATTGAAATCAGCCGCTTTGCTTCAGACATCAATCTGTGTCTGACCAAGTCAAAAACGGAGCAAAACTCTGAGAGTGAGCTGTCTGCATGCGGGAATTTCTTGCAGCTTTCTGTATTGGCCGGCGTGGCCACCCAAACCACGCCTCCAAAGCAGAAGTCCGCGAAGCAAGGACTGTGTGTCAAAGAAGCCCACATTGTCCGTCAGAGGGTAGTCCCAAGCGATGGTTTTCGAAGAGAGGCCACATCTGCAAACAAACAGCTTGGTTAGACGCCATAGCAAAACCCCATGCTGGAAACCAGTGACAGACTGTTGGCAAGGCCCTGGAGTTGTCGAGCGAGCGGCCAGGTGGACAGCCAAGCTCCCAGCAGCTCCTTCTGCGAGCCATTCCGGAAGCCGGGGATCGTGTCCTTTGAGCGCCTCGGAAGGACGACTCGTTCTCGTGGCGTTGGGGCAGGCTGGGGAAGGAGAAGAGCGGGGCTGGGGGTTGGGGGTGCACTGTTTGCCAAAGTGAGGTTCCTCTACAAGTAAGAGTTGTTTTTGGGTTCATGCGAATCTGCAGAGTAGGGTGGGGGTGGCATACTGGGGTGTTGGCCGGAGAGAGGGGGCCGCAGGCTCTGACAAACACTGCGGGATCGTGGTCATTCTCAAATTCGTTTGGGTATGTGACAACCCCAAAAAGTGGATTAATTTTGTGGCTTCCCGGCTTCCGTCTTTCTCAACTCCGAAAAGGAAGCACATCGGGATTCCGATGCATTCCCGCTGCGCGCGCTTTGGGCCGGGCTGAGGCTGCCCATCGAGCTGGTGGACGGTCAGCTGACGCTGACGGCGACTCTGGGCACGGTGTCGGGGTCCACAATCGCAGCCCTGGGCAGCGATCAGGCGAGTGGAGCTGCGGCTGTGGGGGGCTGTGGGGGGCTGCGGGGGCTGCGGGGGGCTGCGGGGGCCGTGAGCCTCTCGTTTTCGCGCCGAAAGTCTCCTCCGAGTTTCGTGTTATTTCCCGGCTGCCACTCAAAAGGGTTCGAAAGGAACCCTATCAGAACCGGCGAAGGTTCCTTCCGAACGTTTCCTGGTGGGCCTTGGGTTTCTGCCCGGTTCGCCTCAAAACCTTGAAGATTAGGAGACTCAAACCCTTGCCATCGGCAACCTTTCGACTTGCCATGGGATTCGGAGGAAAAGGAGCCCCGGTTGGGCCTTAGCTCGGAAAAACCAGCGGTTGGGTCAAATTTAAGTTTGAGCTTGGTTCGAGTTTAGTTTTGTTGGGGTCCTTGCGGTCTTGAGGTTCCACCGTCGTAGGCTTAAAGGGGTACCCCTACATGTACGCCATGCGTGCCACTCATTTAGCCCTTCTCTAAGACGAACTCCTGCACTACGATCTTAAGGGTCCAACCCTGGAGCACTCTGATTTCCTTTCTGGTTGATGAAGCTGGGGTCAAATGGCTTCCATACGAGACATGATGTCCGAATTCCCCACAGAATAACAGGGTAAACCTCTCGGGGAGGGGGGACCTCTCGGGAGCACGAGGTGCGGGTTCAGAAGTGGCTGCAGCTGGCGCGGCCGCGGCCTGGGTGGGCCGAAGTCTTCAATCCGCTGGTGGAGTGGTGGGACGCCCACCGTGAGGCGCGAGGAAGGAGAAGAAACAGCGAAAAACGGCGGAAACAAAGGTGGGAAGCTGCTGATTGTAGCTTACTTTAGTGGAATTTTGGCGAGTCCCCATCTCAAGCAATCCTTACAGCTCTGTCGGTTCATCGCGTTGTCCAAAGGACACCTATCACACGGAGGCCTCGCGCGCCTGTCGATGGTGCGATGGACACTTGAGCCACAACGAGCCGAAGGGTAGATTCTGCGCTCACCTGGAGTTGCTACTTTGCAGCTTGCCAGATCCCCAAAGTCGTTTGTCTACCCTAGAGATGTGCGAAGTATGCGCAACGTGTGGAATTAGAAGTCACATTCAGGGTGGGTTTGTAGGTTTGTGGGTTTGTGGGGTCCGCTCACGCCCCGGGTGTCGAGGGCCTGCAGACTACCAAGCTGGCGCACTACTTCGACGTCTACCACCGGCACTTGTCTCACTTCCGCGGCCGCAAGGCGTTTTTCCAGGGGAAGCGGTGGGTGGGTGGGTCGGCCGGTCGCCCGGCCCGTTGGTTGGTTGGTGGGTCGGTTGGTTGGTTGTTTGGTTGTTCGGGATTGGTTGACAGTTGATAGATAATGACCTGGTTGATTGGGCTGGTGACAAGCAAGATTTGGTGGGGATCGGAAGGCCACACTTTCTTTTGAGGCACACTGGGCCCCAAAAAGAGGTTGCACAATAGACCCTCCGTTTCCATCTGGGAAGTTCCCTGATATAGACCGTAAGTGTCAACCACGCAAAAAGAGGGGCCCCCAGATCCACTTGTTGGGCTGCGCTTGAAGGCTTAGCTGATTTCCGGATTCTTGGCACTTGCAGGCTTTTACTGCATCTTGATGGAAGACTCACGGAGCTGGTCCGGCGTTGGGCAATGCCTGGGAGACACGGCCTTTCGATCGACCAATCCCCTGGTGGATTCAAAAGGCATCACAGAAGTGGCGTTTTTCTTCCAGCCCTTTTGACTGGGTGCCCTACCATTCGAATGGCAGCCGTTTTCCACCAGGGTTGGGAAATTCAACCCCCTTGTTTAAACATGTTCAAATATTTTGCTTAAACATCATTCGTTTGTTTTGCTTTTAGTTGGACCGGGGGCTGGCTGTTCAAGCAGCAAATATGTGCCCAACCCTGACCTTGACCTGTCCGAACAGGCGCACCTTCTGGAGATTGGGGTGGCCAGTGGGGGGTCCCTGCAGATGTGGAAGGCCGATGCGCCGATTCGGCAATTCGACTCAGGGATTCGGAGATTCAGAAGGCCTTGCACAGTGGCCTTGCGTCACTTCTCTGGATGGGTGTATCTTTTTCGAGGGTATCTTTTTCGAGGGTATCTTTTTTGAGGGTATCTTTTTTGGGGCTGGCTTAAAGTAAGCTAAGGGAAAGCCACGCAGTTTGGGGTCCTCTGTATGAAGATACACCCAGATGAACATGCGCCTCCTGATGAAGGTTTCCTTTGCAGGAATCCCTTTTTCCGGTCGGTGAATGCTAAACTGTTGCCCAGATTATGTTTGATTGGGGACCCCTTGGACTGGACTAGGGGATTGATGTCCTCCAACTTTTGTTGAGCGGGTTCCCTGTTGAGTATCAGGAGACAAACTCTGTATACTGTTGTTGGAGCCGTAGCAGAAAAAGCAACAGCGCCACGGCAACCTAGTCGCGCCGGTTGCCTATGAGTGACTAGTTGGGACAATTTTGGCCCAAGGGCCATGACCTTCCTCCGCATTTCTCGCGGCTCAGAAATTGTAACAGGGTCCAACTAGACGTATAAGGCACGCCAACTCCGCAACAAAGCGGGCGGGGCACAAGTGAAAAAGAGAGGGTACCACCTGTTTCATGCTGAGAATTCTGAAGGTTTCTTGCATGTGTCCTCTTTTGGTCAGAAACTGCAGTGTGGAGAGGGGGTGAAACATGCAGAGCTCACTGGAATCGGTGAATGCCTTCAACTCTTCATAGGGGCGTCGACTTTCTGAGTATTCAACAATCCCTGAATCGTTTCCCTACTAATGACAAGCAGCAAATGTTTGGAGCATCATGTAGTGTGGCCTTGTATCACACCCATCATCACCTGTCATCAATCGCAAGTGGTCAGGCTACGTAGTCCATGTCTTCTGCCTCGAACTTTCAGCCGCGGTACTTTGCTCCAAGGAAGCAGGAAATGTGCCATGGTCAAAAGTACCTGTTTCTCAAGGCTTACCGGGAATGGTCCGTCATGAATCCCGTAGGAAATTTTGGCAGAAGTCTTGTTGCGAAAGTCATGTAGGAACCTTGTCGTAGCGCATCTCACCATGCCGCTCCTTGCAACTTGTAAAGGGTAGCCTCCCAAAAAAAACAATCCCAAATGCAGCTTCTCAACATGACGGGCCCCCCTTTTTGGTTGAAGGGAAACCACTGGAACCAACCCGCATCCTTGGTGCAGGGTCCCACTGGTTCCCTCCTTCCATGAGGAAATCCCGGCAAAACGTGAGCCACAAGTCGTTCCCGAGAGACGCAGAGACGCGAGGCCTACTTCGGACCGCGGCTCCGTGTCACCGGCGTGGACTGCTGCCCCTACTCGGGCATGCGAGGTGCGAGGTACGGGCTTGAAACCCCAACTGACGCGGACGGGACGGGGTGAAGCATGGGACATGCGGCTGCACTAGGATATAAACGGTATAGTAGTACCCTTGCGTTTTGATCTTTGTACTCTTGTTTTGTTGGTCCCAGCACCTGGAGCGTTTGGGGTCAGTGGTGAGACAATCTGAGCGCGAAGATCAGAAGCTCCAGCAGTTGAGCAGCACTGGTTACGCCGGGTTAGGCAAAGGCACTAAGCCTTGAGACCAAACCCCACGGGTGGAAAGTTGCTTCAGCTTCCCTTTAAGTGGTTTGGATTGGCTTGGAGGTGCCGGGTGGTTTCCTGTTTAATTTACCAAGAGTCATGGACCCGTTGTGTTTCCTTTCGTCTCTCTGTGGCCAGGGGCCAATTGAATTTGGAATTTCTGCCCGCTCAGACGGCTGCTGGATTCCCTCTGCCCCAGCCCCAACCAAATGCCAAAGGATCCTGATTTCAAGAAGTCACCCAATCTTCGGGGTTTTCGGCGATCTGAAATCGGAGATCCCAAAGTCCTTAGATGGGATTTGCGCAAATCCAAGTTCGCACTTGCCCCCCGGGCTGAAGAGGCAGGGGAAGTCGATTCCCAGAATCAACGGTCTGTAACCAGTCCGGACACCCTGACAGGAAACATTGGAACCGGGTGCCGACGTCATTTATGCATTCTGTGTATCTTTTTAAGCAGGAGCACCTGGTTTGACTTTAAACCACTGGGGCTCCAGATTGTGTGCAGACGTGAAATGTAGGAAGCCTGATGCAATGCTTCTCCCATGAGTTGTGAGTTCAGCGTGCCAAGGCAGGATGCGGGGTCAAAAAGCCGGGTCAAATCTCAACGACTAACCTTATCCATGCTTTATTTTGGGGAAACAGGGTGAGGGGTGGGGGGGGGGGTTGGGGGAGGGGGTTGCAGTCCTGTGAAATCAGTGGAGCCGCTGCTGTATTTGTTCGAATCGGGGCAGGCGAGCTGGAGGACCACCGGACCTCCATTTGGATCGGAGACCAAGAGGATCCTCAGTTCTGGGAGGAGCGTCGCTGTTTGAAGTGACCCGCTGCTTCCCCTCAGAAGCAAAAGGTTGAGCACAGGGGATCGCCTTGGAATAGCCGCGTGATCGGTCGAGGTAAATCCAACAGGCAATGTTGACCAAGCGGAGCAATGAACCCGGACCTCTCCTAAAATGGGATACCACCCCCTGAAAATCAACTAAAGTCTATTCATCAATTGGGTCAAATTGCTTCGATCTCATGGGCATGTGTCAAACTAGGTGGGGCACACGATTGGTTGGTGTCCTTTTGGCTTTCCTTTAGAACCATGAGTCATTCGCTGAATCAGGGACCCCAATTAAGCACTTTTCGGCCCCCCCCCCTCCCCATTTGTGTGGGGATACCCAAGAACAAAAACAACACACACGGGGTTTGATTCATGGTCAAGCAACACCAATCCGTACGTGTCAAGAACAGGGGGACCCCTAAAATCTAAAATCGAGGTTCATTTCGGATGTTTCAGGAGTTGGTGCAGTCCGTGCCCCCCATCGACATCATCATCGACGACGGGAGCCACGTGGGGCGCATGCAGCTGGCTGCCTTCCGCAGCCTGTGGCCGCGCCTAAACCCCGGAGGGGTGTACTTGGTGGAGGAGTTCAGTCCTTTTTAAGACCTTTCCGTTCTTTTTAACACAAAAAAACACAAAATAGAACACATATTTGAGCAAATTCTGTGTGAAGAAGAGCAAATTGTTTAAAACATCCCGAAGGAACAAAGGGAGTACACTGGAAGAATGGCATGGACAAATGGTATGGAATAACACGGTACGGACAAAATTGAAGTCTTGGCTGGGAGACACCTACCCCGGGGCGAGATTGTATGGGCAAATGGTTGTTCCCAGAGGATTGCTTCAAGAAGCAGATGTTTCATTTGGAGGCTGATCTTGGACGGATGAGTTCTTTCTTTTCGACCGCCAGTTCCTGCCAACCTCGGGAACACCCCTGAGGACTTGATGTTTGCGTACTTGGAGCCTCACAGCCAGGCGGGGGGCTGGGCTTTGGAGGGATAGGGGAGACACGGAGCGGCCTATTTGGTGGACCCCAAGGCCCCAAGTGTCCCGCCATGCGGCATGTGTCAAGACTTGAGGGCCCTGATTTTGACATGATAGCCCCTAGATACTCTCCCACCCTTGACCCTCAAACAGGACCCAATAGCGGGTGCGTCAGTGTGTGTTCTCTATCAGGTTTGCAAAGTCGCGGCAAAATGGGCCAGAGATGGTGGCTATGGGACAAATGCGGCAAAGGAAGTCATCTTGGAAGTTGCCATGTGTCGGGCAATTGTGTCATCGGGACTGGCATGTCGTCCAGTGTGTTTGGTTTACGTCACTGGTACTGACATTCCCATGGGGCTGCCAGCTGAAACAAATCTTCCGGGACTGCCATGTTCCGGCGTTGACACATTTCCCCTTTGCGGGAAGCCCCGGGTTCAAGTCTACCTTGCAATCAAACAGCGGAACCCAGACTTGGCGGTGCCCCGGCCTAGGCTTTTGGAGTTGTCCCACCAAAAGTCTTGCCTTTTGGAAAGGGATTAAACCGACGAGCCGACGCGCCAGGATGCCCACTTCTTTCGGGGCCACACCTTGTGGATGGAGCGTTTGAAGTTGTTGATGGACGAGATGCAGACAGGCGGACGCCGGTCCAGGTTTGGGAGGAGGATAGTGTGTCTTATAGGGGAACCCGGCTGCCTTGAACGCAACTTCAAAAATTGTACTCTCAAGGAAGAAGAAGAGCTCCTTTTGGGTTTTGATAGGTCACTTCCTAATCTCTAGATGGGGAATCCTAAAGTTGGTGTTTTTCTTTTGGTTTCCCTAACCTCTAAAAAGAGTACCCTCAAAAAAGACACGCCCATTTAACTCGAGTTCTGATTTGCTCAGAACAGAAGGATGTCAAAGCCATCACCTTCCTAAAGAGGTGTCGCTAGGCGCGAATTGCACGCCTGCTTCTCCCCGAAATCCCCCTGGTGTCCTCTAAAAAGGGCGGAGTTGTCAGAATTATGGGCCCTTTTTTGAAAGGTGGCACAAGGCGGCACCAGGGTGCAAAGGGGACCATACTTGTGACAACCCCCCAAGAGGAGCGTCTCACTGAGGTCCCACGGAGCAAACTGTGCCATGGTCATTTGACAACCATAACCTCCTTCCCTTTTTTCAATAATCAACAAGGGGCCTTTTCAAGAGGATGGTCTTCCAACATCCTCCAATCGTCCACTTCCCATTATTGTTGGAAAGAGGGAAACCCCTTCAAGAGGCTTCACCAACAGTTTGTCTGGTCATGCATCCATCTCAAGCACGTGATGATGCCGGGCGCCGCTCGGTCCACAGGGCTCGTCACATTTGCTTTTTAGAAGGTGGGGCCGACATCGCCTCTGTTTTGGCCATTTTTGAAATGCTTGTGTTTTGGTGGGGTGATGCCGAAAGGGCACACAGACGCAGACACAGACACAGACACAGACACCGACGCAGACGCAGACACAGACACAGAAATACTTACATACACACATACATTTATATACATGTCGCCCTGACGGAAGAATGGTTCACCATGGTTGCGATTCGGTGCCAGGTCTCGCCGGGGACGAGCTCAAGGGGTCTGTGGGCACAATTCGCAGCATCAATGTCTACCGCCATATTTGTGTCGTTGAGAAGTACGACCAGGGTCAAGGCACGGGCGAATTGATTTCGTCACCGGGTGTTTGGTTGGAAAACTGAAGGGGAAATTCAATGATTCCCCCTTCCAAAAAAAGATGGAGGTTCTCCCAATAATGGTTCCTTCTTTCCTTGGTTGAGGGGAAACGAAAGGAATCAGCCCATGTTGGTTTGGCCCCCTAGAGGTGCAAGGGGATGAAAGTGGAGAGGTGATTGAACCTCCCAAATTGACCACAAGGTGACCTTTTTACGGGCGGCCCCCTTTCACGAAGTTTTGATCGCGAACATCCTTTCAATGGAAGGGTCGACCAAATGGTGACCAACTGTTTGGCGTATCTTCTGCCGTTGGCTAGCGTCGCTTCCCCCAGGTTTCGGGGCCCAGGAACCTGGCCCGGGTTGCTCTTCCAGTGGGAGTAAGGTTGAAGAGATCAGCTTTCGGCCGACGCGAGTTGAGTTGCCTCTTGCTGAAAATATACGGGATCTCTTTCGGTTGTATTTGTTGTATTCTATGTCGTACGAAAAATATGGCCAGAACCAAGCAAGCACGATATTTGGGTGGGGGGGCAAAGCTGAAGTCTGGTTGTGCTTGCGCACACATGCGTTGAGGACATTTTGCCAGCCAAGGTGATGTGCTCTCGCCATTAGCGGAGGTTGATGATTCATAGAAAGAGGGTCCATTTCCAAAGCAAGGTTCCCTCTAAAAATGGCCGTTGATTTTTGAGCGTGAGCAATTCTGCAGGGGAGCAAGTGAATGTGGCATTGTGAGGAAAGACCACGACGAAGCTGCGAGAGTGCTCAGACCGCGTAGACTAGCTTTCTGGCCAGCCACTTGGAAGAAGCCATGACAGGTTTGGCCGAGATCGTCCAGACCAGTGCGATGGTGACTCTGCTCATGTACGTGAAGTTCTTTGTAAGCAACATGCGTTGGGGCGTGGCCAAGGGCAAGGCTAACCTGAGGGCCAAGGAGGATTTGAACAACAACCCATCCGCCACTCAGGATGATGTGGACCGCGCAACTCACGCGGGCCGCATAATCCAGAATGACATGGAGAACCTCCCCATGGGCTTGGTTGTGATTTGGGCCGGTGGTGTGACGATTTTCGTGACCTATTCCTCTCTTGGGGATTCTTCCGCATACTGCACGGCGCACATGGTCCTCACCGCAACGTGGGCATGCTTGCGAGTGTTGCACACCGTGGTGTATGAGCTTCACATCGGCATTGCGAGAAGCGTCAGTTTCATATTGAGCATGCTGTGTCTCTTCGGCCTCATGTCATTGGCGGTGGTTGCGGCATTCAAGATGCAATGAAAGACCTTCGAAGGGGGGGGCGCATACCTTAACCTCGGCCAAGGATTCTAAGAGCGGCCTGAGGTAGTTTCACTTTATCCCGAAGGCCCAAGGTGGGCGCGTCCATGAACCCAACTGCGTGTGTGTTCTTTTCAGGCTACCCTTTTACACAACCCATGTTGTGTGTCTACCTGTTTTGACACATAGCCAACTTGCTGACAAGACACTGTACTTTGGAACACTCAGGAACCGTCATCGCGGTATTGAGTAAGAGCATTCCTTTTTCAAATAGCAAATCTTCTGTCAAAGTGAAGCAGTTGGATCTTCAGGATGCATGTCTCAGTTTCAGATGAGCACACGGCATTTGGCTGGTGCGCATGTGATCAGCTAACCATTCGGTGATTACTCTCAAGCAGTTTAGCAGGATCGTGCAACTGCTCTGACTGCGACGGCGCATTTGTTTGCTGGCCGCAAATATGCGCCAAGTCATCTAGCAACCTTGCAAAAAGAAGTACTCCCAACGTGCATTATTACTTTGCCTCGGTCCCTGCCACACGCACTCATGAGGGCTGTCCAACATGAATGCTGCCAGCTAAGACCAGACCTGCCTTGAATGCTTTATGGTCGATGAATCACCAGGACGATGGTTGGCTTTAAGTCCATGCTAAGTGGATGCGCTATTTCCAAAGGCATCAACTCCTTAGGCCCTCGCTACTTGATTGCTTCATGTGTCTGTGTGTGTGTGTGTGCGGAGCGACAGATTCACCTGTCGCCATCTCTGTCTCACTATTTGCAGGGGGCACAGGCACATGGTGGTGACCTGTGCCAACGAAGCTATCCACCATGGGGGAAGCGCGGACTGATCATCCGCGAGCAGGTAATTTGCATGATTGCATTTGCATTTCTTTGCCGGTTGAGCCGCCGGTATTCGCATGCAGCCTTCAGCTGTACTCGAAAACCCACCCACTCGAGACTCATCAGTTGTACTCGAAGGATTAGCTTCTCCCTTGAGTGAGTAATCCTTGATGCGGGGGATCCTCGAGTGTACCCATCGTGTGACCCCGGGCCGGTTTGTTGCCGGAAAATTGACCTCATCGTACTGATCACTAGACCAGCGTAATTGCAATTTCAACCGTTTCAACGTTTCACTAAAGGTATCAAAGCCACCAGATCATAGAACGTTTCACACTTTCGTTCCTCGTTTGCGCGTCCGTCTTGTTGTTCTTCGCCCGTTTAGGGATGGCTTCCCCTTCCTCCCGCTCCCTTCTTCCTGGTGTTCCTGACCCGCGCGTTCGTCCTCCTTCTCTTAGCCCGCTTAGGGATGGCCTGCTTGTCTTCGCGCTGTTCACCTTTCTCCTCGTCGTCTTCTTCCTGCCTGTGTACCTGTTCTTGCTCCTCACTCTCCTCACGCAGTTTGGCTTGACGTCTTCCTCTCCTTCCGTTGCTATTTCGTGTTCGTCCTCTTGGCCCCCCTTGCGGGATTCGACGTCCTCCTCCTCGAGCTTTGGTCTTCATCCTCTGTCTTTGTCCGGGCGGGATGCATCGCCCTAAAAACGCATACTAACCCCTTTCCCTTTTTCCCCCTTTTTGTTCCCTTGTCTCCTTCTCCTCTCTTTTCTTTCTTGTCTCTTTTTTCCTCGGGCGGGCTGCGACGCCCTAAATACGCATCTCGGCCCCTTTGTCTTCCTTCTTTCCTTCCTTTCTTTCTTCCTTTCTTCCTTTCTTTCTTCCTTTCTTTCTTTCTTTCTTTCTTTCTTTCTTTCTTTCTTTCTTTCTTTCTTTCTTTCTTTCTCTCTTCCTTTCTCTCTTTCTTTCGTTCTCCCCCCCCCCCCCCCTCTTTTTCTCTTTTTCCCCCTCCCCGCTTCATCCTGTGCTTCCTCTTCGCCCGTTAAGGGATGGGCTGTTCTTCCTCTCGCTCTTCAACTTCGCGGTGCTCCCCATCTTCAAGGTTTAGGAGGGTTTTCGGGACTGTTTGGGGTTTTTGCCCTTGTGGGAGACTCTAAACTTGGTTTCCCCTGGTTTTCGTGTTTCTTGATTGGGGTTTTGCCCGCGGAGACCCAACGTGGGGCTTTCTGTTTGATTGCTTTCTTGCTCCGTTTGTTTTCCGTTGGGGTCTTCATCCGTCTTTCGGGCGCGTGTTTTTTTTCGGGTTGCTCCTCCCGTAAAAACTGAGCTACTCGCCCCCCTGTGAGGGGCGTGTGTGTGTGTGTGTGGAGCGACAGTTTCACCCTGTCGCCATCTTTGTCTCACGATTTGCAGGGGGCACAGGCACATGGTGGTGACCTGTGCCAACGAAGCTATCCACCATGGGGGAAGCGCGGACTGATCATCCGCGTGTACCTGCCCAAGTGATTTAAGGTCTATGCGTTTCTTTGCCGGTTGAGCCGCTGGTTTTCGCACGCAGCCTTCAGTTGTACTCGAAAACCCACCCACTCGAGACTCATCAGTTGTACTCGAAGGATTAGCTTCTCCCTTGGGAGTTTAAGTGTGTGTGTGTGTGCATGTGTATGTGTATGTGTATGTGTATGTGCATGTGCATGTGTATGTGCATGTGCATGTGCATGTGCATGTGCATGTGCATGTGCATGTGCATGTGTGTGTGTGTGTGTGTGTGTGTGTGTGTGTGTGTGTGTGTGTGTGTGTGTGTGTGTGTGTGTGTGTGTGTGTGTGTGTGTGTGTTTGGTTGGTTTCGAAGGGAATCCAAAAGGAGAAGCGTCCCATTTTGTGGGTTTGCAATTTTTAGACAGCCCCAATTATATTGGTCGAGGCCCCTTATGTCACAGCAACAGCCAAGGTGTTTGGCGCTGGACGGTGATGCAAAATCATCATGGAACCCAAGCATAGAAAATTGGCAAACCATTTTCTTTGGTTTCACTGCAGCCAATTTTGTACCCTTGTGCTGATCGTGCATGGGCTTTCCAGGGACCAGATGGGGGGTATTCAAAGCGGATTTGGGACACCGCGGGAAATCCCGGCTCCCAAATCGGGCCTTGCCAGCTTTTTTTGGTACCCACGGTACCCCTGTTTTGAGAACCCCCCCACCCATTTCTAATAAAAATATCCTTCTGCGCTTGCCCTTCGCTTGCCCTTCGCTCTCGTGAGGCGACGCCGGCTTCGTCCAGGACTGGGAGGAGTTGCAGGTGGGCGCCGGTGTGCAGGCCCCGGCCCTGGCAGACCGACAGGCCTTCGGGTCGCGGGAGTCCGCGGGGTGTCTCGTTTGGGATGGGTAATGTGGACCCCGGCTGATTGGATCTTTGGACTTTCACTTTTTGGTTGAAACCGCGATATTTCATTGGACCCACAAAAAGTTAACCTTTTTGCACTAGTAACCAAGTGATGTTGACCCCGAAGTGGTCAACCCCAGTTCATCAAGAATGGGATGGGTTTATGAATCCGGTTTTAACGTTGCCCCTTTGTTTTGGGTCAAGGGAAAACCGAACGAACGCCGGCCTTTCCGGGTTGTCCTCAAAACATTGAACATGTAGCCCTTGATAATGCGCGGCGAGGACTTAAATCCTCAAGTAAAAGATGTCACTAAAGGATTTCAAGCCAAAAGTCATACACATGTGGCGGATCGCAGTAGATATTGGTTGAACCAGGTGCGGCTTCCGGTTTGGGTGTTGGTATCATTTTTTTGGGTGGTGTGAAGGGACATTTGAAGGGAGACTGAAGCCCATTTTTGTCGACGATCTTGAATTCCGGAGTGCGCCATGAAGAAAGCATTGCTCAGCAGCAATTCATCAAATAAGCCTGTCTCAAAACGGGGCAGCCCTTTCTTGATGGTGTGGAAGGGAAGTCAATCTTATTTTTGAGCACCCCAATGGCTGCTGTTTTAACTCCCATTACTGAGACCGTGTCGACCGTGCCAGGTGCAGGTACCGATGATGTCCCACCCTGCCTAATTGAGCCTCACCCAGATCTGACGCGCACGACAAGCTGCACGCGAGACGTGAGGCGCGGTGGCCAAGGAGCGACGAAGCTTCAAGTCTCCGGACCGGTCAGCACTTCCGAGGGTCGCGCGTGGAGGGCCGGAAGTCGGAAGGATCTCCGCGCCTTTTCCGAAGCCTGGACATGGGCCCGAGGCCGGAGCACCGCTCCTCACGGACGAGAGGAGACCAGGATTCACAACCCCTTGGTATATATATATATATAAACACATATATATATATATATATGTACACATGTATATACATGTATCATTTTTTTGAAGGGGGGCATTCTGTCAGAAATCCGTTGCTTTGTAGAGCACCCACCACCGGGGGTACTGGTTCTCCGTCGAGAATGAGCTGAACCATCCAACTGGTTGAGGGGATCCTTCAAGCGATTCCCAGCACCGCTTGAGCAACTAGGAACTGAGAATCAGCAAGGCTTTCAAGTGAATTGGTAAGTGTCGAGAAAAATGGCCCGCACCATGTGCATCACGCAGGACCCGCAGTGAGGTGACGTGTCCTAAGAAGGCTAAAGCAAGTTGTGGGTATTGTTCCCCCCCCCCCCCCCGGAATGAACAGAAGGAACCTAAATAGGGGTCCATTTCTCAGCAAAGGTGATTCCTCGAAAAGCCGTGTGTTTTGTTGGCTCCATGCTGATTTTGCGGCTAAGAACCAACATTCTCTCACAAGGTTCTTCAGAGTCCAAGAAATCCACACACACACACATCCCACCAGCCAAATGGTGCACCAGATCTCTGAACCCTCTGGTGGAAGTTAGAGGCCATCCGAAGACCATCCTTCTGCAGGACCTGTCAGCAAGGTACATTAAACAAGGACACGCCCTCTTCCCGTCTCGTGCCGCTTCGCTCGGTTTGAGCGGGTCGGATGGCAGCGCCCATGGCGCGATCGCCGGAGGCCGGGGGTCAGGGTGCATTTTGGTGGTGCGCAGTTAATCACTCAGGTGAGCTATTTGCGAGACTAAAGTCAACGGAGAAGGATAGTCAGGCAGCCTGCGTCCCAATATTTTGCGAGAAAGTCATGGAGACAGTCAAACTTTGACTGGCCTTGTTTTCCCAAGATGCAAACGATTCAGAGTTCCCGTTTGGAGGGTGAGAGATCTTTTCGGTTGGAAGTCTGATGGCTTGTCTTTAGGGGCGGAGAGAGCCCCCCCCGTCCCCCCCCCAAAAAAGGAGAACCCAAAATCAGATACCACCCAGGTGGAAAGCAACGCGAAAGCCTCGTCCCTTGCCCTGACCTTTTCGCGATCAGGTTGCCGCACTGAAGGGCGGATGCGGGGCATCCTGGGCCCGGAGGCCCGACTCTTCCGAAGCGAACCGACTTGCGGGGTCAACGTTTGGTGCCATCTTTAGATCTTTGCCCTTGACAATGCAAAGAACATATGAATGTCTCCCAGGTTCAGGGTGGTATGAAGGACTTTTTTTTCAGCATTTCGAGACAACACACAAGGCATCCTTGAGCCTGCGCGGAATAACCTGAGGGCTTCAACCAAGTGATCACGACCTTGTTATTCTTTTGAAGTACCCCACATTTTCATTCCAAAGTGTTCCGGGCCTGAAATTGTCGCCGGATTCCCATCGGATACCCAACTCGATTCTTCCCATCGGAGAAACTTCTCGCCGAGGCCTTGTTGGCATCTACCTGGAGGCGCGGAAGGTCCAGGACGAAGGGGTGGAGTCGAGCGGGTCCAAACCGTTTTTGGATCTTTCTGGGATTTGGGAGCCATCCTTTCGAGCTATCCGTTAAACAAACAAGTAAGTGAAGAAGAACCGATTTGGACACAGCTGCCATGTTTTCATGACTCGACTGACATTCATTTCTTCGGGGCTGCTTTTCTGAACATTCGGCAACCCCAAAAGGTTTGGTTTTGAGACGACATGTTTCCAGGCTGCACGGACCAAAAGGTTTCAGTCAGAGACTCGGTGTCGTTTCAGACCGTTAGGCCCTGATGGGATCCCGTTTCAGAACAAACCTGGGCCTGTCGTGCAATGCCTTCTTTCCTTGTTGCCAGACAAGTGGGCTGCCACCCTTTCGAGGTAATCCTGTATCTCTTTGCGTAGGGAACACTCAGAAACGGTCCAACGTTTTAACAGCTTGGTCAGTTTCACTCACCAACGTTGCAGGGGATATCCCGTGGGTTTGGATCCAAGACACAGCTTCATAAGTCTCGTGCGTCGATTCGAGCCGTTCCTGGAGAATGATTGACAAGGGTAGGAAATTGGTGAGCAGTTGGTTTCCTTTGGTTTCCCTTTGCCAGGGGCCAAATGTCGAGCCTTGTGCCAAATTGCTTGATTCAATCCTGCACCGTTTGCCAGGCTTTGTGGTCCTACTTAGGTGCCCCTTTGTGGTAACGTTGTCCTCGTCCTTAGCCCCATTTTATTCCCAAATCCTCATACCTGCCCATGATTCGATCCCCAAACATTTGGTTGCCTATGGTCAGCTCGCATTGGCTTGTCTCGGGTTCAAACCTGCGCCATTGCAATGAGGCCGTGGCTTGTTGAAATGTAGTGAGCCCACTTTGTCCTTTGCGAGTGGCACAGGTTTCCTAGAGACTTGGACTGTTTAATCAAAACAAAGCATTGCGAGCGATGGCCTCAGAAGGTGTTGGCGCAATTGCCCAGTGCGCTGAATGTCAAACTGATAAGTTTAAACAAGCGCGGGTAGAAGGCCGTCTATTTAGTCAAGTGCATGAATGGATTAACCACTGTCCCTACCTACTGTCTCCAAACCACAGCGAAGGGAACGGGCTTGGGGTAAACGAGGCCTTGTTGAGCTTGAATCTAGTGAATGACTTAGTAGGTGTAGCATAAGTGGGAGCTCCGGTTTGCTTTGTTTAGCAACTGATTTTTGCGGAAGACATAGTCAGGTAGTCCTAAGGTGACTACAGGGATAACTGGCTTGTGGCAGCGAAGCGTTCATAGCGACGCCGCTTTTTGACCCTTCCATGTCGGCTCTTCCTATCATTGAGCCGCAGAATTCCCAAAGTGTCGGATTGTTCACAAGGAAGTCAGCGCGAGTCCTGTTCAAATCTCAGCAGTCACATTCAAGTCCCCGCTCTTGCGGCCTCTCGGCACAGGCCTCGTCATCAGATGTCGGACTCGATGTCGGACTCCTCAGGGGGAGGGGCGGGTCCAAGGGGCCCCCTTGTTCTATGCCCTTGAAAGAGGATTGCTTGGATGTCTGGGAGAGCTGGCTGCTTTTGTTTCACTCTCACGAAGTCCTCCCAATGAGAAGATTAGTTTGGGTCACTTTTCCCCACAACCCCCCGATGACTTCGAATACCCAATTCCGCCAAACGCTCGGGTCTGAGGGTCTGCTGAAGTTTGTTCCTCGCAATCCAGCGAAACCCTCTGGTTGTTTCTGGCTATGAAAGCTTAGCCATAAGATTCGGGCCAGAATAGGAGCAGTGGTATCACATCCGCTTTGCAACGCAGGGTTTAGAGCCACAGAGGGGTCAACTCAGGATTCGTGGCAACAAGTGGTGCAGGCAGTGTGGGACGCAGTGCTGCAACATTTTGGCTCAGGTTGCAGCATGACTCCGCAGAGCTCGCGCTAGCGCTGCGGGAGAACGCTGGCTGCACGCGGTGCCACTTGGCGCCCTCGTAGAGCCGAGCAGGAATCGCACTAGCTCAAGCAACGCGTGTCCACTCTGCAGTCAGCCTTCGGAAATTGAAATCGGAAGAGAACGCGGGTTTAGTTGAGTTGCTGTTTTGCAGTTGGAAATGGCAGCTAGCGCCGACAGCAAAGCGCATCTTGAAGTGACTGACTTCGACCTGGGCGAAGCTGGCGCGCAGCAAGCAGATTGGCTTGGCGCAGCGGTTCTTGCTTGCCTTTGGCGTGCACCAATGCACTGCGCAAAAGAACTGGAACACTTTTTTCAGCACTGTGGCTGCTCGCTGTTCGAGGCGCGTGAGTCTGCGCGCAAGGTCTTCCGGCAAACCATGCCCAAGACAATGCGCTGGCTCGGCGCCGGCGTGCTCTTAAACACATCACTGCTGGCCGCACGCCTTGCGCGGGCCCACGCCGGACAAGTTGCCTAGCTGTGTGTCAGATATAGCCTTCTGTGCGGCAGTTGCGTTTGTGCACAGGCGCTACGGTACGGTCAAGTAGTTTTGAGCGTGTCTGCGCAAGAGGGCGCCTGGCTGGCTGCCGAGCCCATGGCATCGAAGGAGCCGGACGACATCATGCCTATTGTTTTCAAGCTGCTACGCAGTGGCGCGAGCAGCTGCATCACCATGGACCATATCTTGCAAACGGAGCTAGCCCTGAAGCTTTTGTGGGAAAAAGGCTCAGCTGAGGAGCGAGCAGTCGTGCTGCATGTGGAGCGTATCTGGCTCGCTTTCAAAGACTTAGGCGTTGGTAGCCTCCACGACGTCGCGCGTAGCAAGCAAATGCCTTAGCGATGCCGCACGCGAAGGTTGCTCGGGAGTGGCTGGCAAACGCCGAACTTTTTGGAGCAGGCGGCGTGTTTCCATTTGGGCGAGTCTGAAGATTTTTCGCGCAGGAACCTCGCAGTTTCTAGACATTTGTGTTTTCAAGCGGGCAAGTCTGGAGGTTTTTGGCCCCAAGACCGAACAGGCAAGCAGGCAAGCAGCAGACAGGAAGCCACAGAAGCAAGCAAGCAAGCAGGCAAGCGCGGAAGCCAGCAAGAAAGCGAACAGGCGGCAAGCAGGCGGCCCCCGTGTCAGTGGAGCTTTTCGAGTCTTTCCGGGCGAAGGTATCAGCCGTAGACCTGTGGCTCTTGCCAGTGGCTCTTGCAAGCCAAACCCCCAGCACAACCTTATCGGAGCCCGACAAGACATGCTGATCCCTGAGCCAAGCCCCGCACAGCCCAAGGCCATAAACCAACCCGAGCGCCCAGCAGACCAATCCGACCCCCACAAACTAATCCGGCCATTCTGCAAACCAATCAGAACCCAACAAACGGATTCGACCCCCACAACCTCCCGCAAACTATGTTGCGCGCAGCCCTTTTACAGGTTCCACGTACAGGTAGTGAGTGCTTTGAGGTAGACTGCCCATTGGACAAATGTGTCGTGCCCAACGAGAAAACATAAAGGACTTCCCCCTAAAAGCTGCAATCAGCACTTGCCCCAGGCGCGGATGCTGGGAGACCTGGGCGAAGGCGCGGAACCTGACGAAGCTTTGGAAGTGCAGGTTATTGCAGGGGGCAATGTTGCAATCAGTTCCAGGATTGTCTCGAAATAGGATTTGGATCCCTAAATGGTTGGTTTCCTTCTCGGCCCCGCCCTGGTTTTGCCTGGGTAGATGAAGGTTAGGATAATTCATGATGTGGAGGGTAGAAGGTATGGGACAAATTTGTTGCCACAAGAACTTTGCTTTGATTTGGGACCCCCCCCCCCCAACCTTTTGCGGTTTACTTTCCGTTTCCCCGCAAGCCAACCCCAACAAGGGCACGCTAGCAAAAGGTCTCGCGCTGCCTGTTAAGTTGGGGTGCTGGTTTTGTCTGGCTGTGGCTCTCTGCTTGCTTCCTCGGCTTCCTTCGGCTTGTTCTCGAAGGAATTTGGGCGAGGGGCGGCACTAAACCAAAGGTCTGTGCTATTCTGCAAAAACAAGGCCACCAAACAAATGACTTGGGCAAAGGAAAAAGAAACCAGCCCCAAATCAAAAATGTGGACCACTTTGGCGCCGGCTAAAAAACGGGGACGAACTTGATCCTAGCCTTTGGAGGGCACACCTTAGGGGTTGAATTAGTTTCCGAGCAAATTCAACTTAGGATCGGCTCGGTCGAATTTGAACCAGCTACAACATATCGAAAGGGCAAAAAGATGCACCTATTCGAGTATGGGTGATTCCTTATTCAGCATTCGTTTGGCCTGCCATCCTCGGGCTTCTCAAAATAGTGGCGCCCGCTCCCCCCCCACCCCCCAAAACTGGTCATCCTTTGGTTTCCGTTTAGAATCGGGTAGCCTGGAAAAGTTAGTCACTTTCGGCAGTCTGTGCCGTTCTCAGCCTTTCGGCAGGGCACTGCGAGCACAACCGTCCCTGGCTGCAGGCGTGGTGTCTGGAGGTCAAATGGGAGTGTCTCAATATTCCGACCCCTAAAAATGGTTCCCCAACAAAGACACATCCAAATGAGTGTGTCTTTTCTCGGGTGCCTTTTTGTTGGATGGTTTTAAAGGGAAGCCAAAGAGAACAAGCCACGTTTTGGGTACCCCCTGTGTTAAGACACACTCATCTTGAGACATGGCACATGTGCCTTGAAAGCGTTAGACCAGTCCTGAGCTTGGCGTCTGTCGGTGCTGTGCCTGTTTTTGGCCTGGCGTTTCGGGGAGGGCCGGGACAGCCCCGAAGTCTCATGTCTTTTTGTGGGAACCAGGAAGTGTTTTCCCCCAAAACGTGAGAACTGCCCCCAGCAAAAAGGGCCCTGGTGTCCATTCGATTCCCACCCCAAAAGGGTATGAACTGAGAAATGAAAAGAACTGAAGATTGTGAAGTGTGTGTTTGAAAGGACGCACGAGAAGATTGTTTGGCCCTGCCAGGTGAAAAGGAAGTTGTTTGGCTTCCTGCAGCAGATCTCCGAAAGGAAGAGGCAACGCGGTTTTGCGGTTTTGCAGTTTTGCAAAGTGTCGAGAGTGGCAGTGGGCAGAACTCGGACGGGTCTTTCTCACCCAATTTGTTGTGGTTGTTGGTGCCAATCTTGGTACCGCGATCCGAAAAATGACGAGAACGCCGTAGCTCGCTGCTTTTTTGAAAGGGAAACCTCTCTACCCCGCGGTCGTCTCCGAGTTCGAAGGGCAACCCCGTTTTCAGGGCCCGAAGTGCTCTGACTGGCTGTTCCATTCTGCGAAAACGGCACACAGTCTCAAGTACCCGTTCAAAACAAAATTGGGGGGGGCAATACCTCAATTTGGCGGAGGACTTGGCCAAGGCTTCAGGGGCGAGGCATCGCTTCCAGGCTCGATGTGACGCGAGCAGTGAGCGTGCTCGCCGTCGACATCGGGAAGGAGGAGACTTCGAGTCCAGGGCCTCCGCTCAATGTTCACCCTGGGGTGTGTCTCCCCAAAGCGGATTTGGGTTTGGAAGGACACCACAAGGCCATGAAGATATCGGAACCCCGGTTTTCGAAAAAGCCACCTTGTGGTTTTGGTTTTGAAGGTCGCCTTTTTGTTCTTTGGCGTTTCCTTTAATTGTGATCACCTCTTGGGCGATCTTGGGTCTTTTTCCCGGTGGAGCTTAGGGAGTCCTGCGCTTTTGTTTTTTGCCCGGGCGTTGCAGAAGCGGGGATTGTGTAGCATTTGGATGGATGGAGGCTAGACAGATTCTTTGCCACATGTACAGTCGTACCAGTACAAAGGCTTCCGCCCGGGGCCTTGGAATCACTTGCTTGCAGTTCGCCGGGGAAAAACGAGAAGTTGAAGAAACGCCTCTGACGGGGTATTTGTAGAATCTTCCTACCTGCAACCAGGTGGGGCTCATTCCAAGAGAAGGGCTGGCTTTTCCTCGCCCCGTTTGCGCTGAACATAACCTCTGAAGGCCGGACCTGGAAATTCCGGGTTCTCAAAACAGACCTCGCGTGCCCTGTTAAGTTCGAAGGGGAACCCAAAGGAAACCAGCCATTTAGGGAACCACCCCCTGTTGAGAACCCGAGGACATGTATTTCGGCTCCATTGTGGCTGCGGCCTCTGGCACGGTGTTTCTTTCTTTGGCTTGTGAATGCCTGTGCGACCTTTTCTCCACCATTGGTGACCGTGGTTCCCAGCCACACCCTTTCGAGAGTTTTGGACTTTCAGACTTTTAGACTTTAGAGGGGTTTCATCACGTCTCCCGCTCCGCTGAAATGAACAGTTTTTTGTGTTCACTCTTGCGGGCCTTTGCATAATGGCGATTTGTCTGTCAAGGTGAATGATGAGCAGCGAGGGATGTTTTCGGAACTAGCCTTGATTGGAAAACACGAGAAGCATACAGATGCCGTTCGCGCATTCAAGTTGCTGCTAGCATAGTTGATTTACTCGCCCTGCTAGACTGTTTCAGGGACATCTCCCTATGTGGACACCCTACCAAAACGGCCATCAGCGGGAATTGGTTTCCCTTAAGCAGACGCTTGTCCCTTGGTAAATTGGTAGGGTTGGAAGGTGTCAACTCGGCTGGCGCTCCAAGCCTTAGCGCTGTTGCGTGATGAGTCGAATCTGCCGATACACCAACGGGGACGAAAAGAGGCACGAAGAAACGAACCAAACAGGGAGGAGTGCAGGTAGACTCTGACAATTTTTGGTCGAAACATGCCACGCCATCCCACATCGCTTTTCCCAGTCACAAGCAACACATTCCCGCTCTGCTGGCGCAGGCCTGGATGTTTTGTGGATACCTGTTATCTAGGACTCAAAGTGGACGTGCTGGGCCTTGAGAGGACGGTCTTCCAAAAGTGTCCTTGGGTCGCAAAGCCCTGTGGAAAGAATTAATCTGTCCAAAACGTCCTTTGACTCCAAAGCCTCTTCCACCTCCCTTCTTTGGTTCGATGTTCCTTGGGTCCAACTTTGTACCCCGATCTGTTGCTCCAGAGCGGCGGCAGGACCTGGCGTGCTGCCCCCTCGGTGCGTTGGCAGTGCAGTCGCGGCCCCGAAATCCAAAATTCGCAGAATTCGCATCCGGGCAGGAGATGGGTAAAGGGGGTATGTCGGGAGTGGGGCGGTTGGATGTTCAGGGGCAAATTTTCAGGATTACATATCTTCGCTCCTGTTTGGTTTTGTCACAAAGGCTAATGGTGTAGCTCCAGTAAAAGGTTGATACGGCGGTCAACTGGCGGACTCTTCAATCAGCATACTGTACCAAAATAAGTATCACAATCTATGCATTTGTTCAGTTGCTTCTTATGTCTATTTAGGGCATTCCATTTTGCTTTAGACCGTTCTCATTGTTTTTCTAAACATTTTGTTGCATCCTTTCCCTTATGAGATATTGATGAATTTGGGGACCATTTCAATTGTGAATTTTCAACTTGCAGTTCCTTCAGTAGCTTTTGGCATGTTATCGAGTGCTTTCTTCAAGTCATCCACGTTCAAAATGTTGTATCGTTTGCTCCTTATTTTTATCAACATCAATCATCAATCAGCGTTTTCATTGATGCTTGTTCAAAAGATGTTGTAGTTTGTGGTCGTGCCATTTTAAGTATGTTAACCCTTTGTACCCCTTAATTCGGATGTTTGACATGGTGTAGGTGTTTGCTGAACATGTCTCTGATGTTTTCGCTCCTGCTTTAATCCTGTATGTTTGAATTGCTTTAATGCCTCTCGTTGTGATCGATGCCTGTTTAAGAAGAGGACATCGTTTGAATGCTTGTGTGTTGCTGTTTTGATTGAGCTTGTTTTCCAATCATGTTGATAGGGTGTGTCTTCGTTGTATCGGTATTCCTTGTTGTTTAGGATGAGTTTTTTTGTGGTTATCGTTCTTCCCTATGTTTTTGGTTGCTTCATTATTGGATAGTGGCTATGTAACCTGAGTGAAACTCCCCTGCCATATTTACTTATAGTATGTAACGTCCGGTAGAGAAAGCGCTTGGCTGCTTGTTTGGTCAATCAATTCTGGGCCTTGAGATTTGTCGGAACAAGAAAGCAGCACTGGGCCTCACGCTCGGCCCCTCCCTTTGCGCTGAGCATCATCATCCCCGATGTCACGACGCAAGTCCCGCACGTGAGAAGCACCGCTGGCGCCATGGGCCAGTGCCTGGCCGGCGCCCGGCGCGCGCTCTTCGACTCCCTCCGCGACTCGGCGAGAGCGCCGCTGCCGCCGGAAGCGGATGGCAAGGAGGGGCGCGGCGCCAGGTGGACGGAAGCAAAGGACGGGGCCAAGGGGCGGGGGGTGGGGGTGGGGTTTGGCTGCTATGGACTGGTCACCGGGTTTTGCAATTGTCCCATGACCCTGTAACATTCGCTAGTTTTTCTCTGTTGCCCCCCCTTTTTTGGGGCTACATGTTTGGATTGCTTGAAAGGGAACAACAAAAGAGCACCGAAGCCTACTTTGGGGTTCCCATTTTTGCGACAGGCAAAAGTTTTGCGCGTTGCTCGCCTGAGCTTCAGACAAAATTATTGGCAAGAACATGGGGGACCGGATCCCAATCTTTCCATGCTCTCTTGGGGGAAGAGTAGAACATTTCCTGTGTCTCACACAGATTAGCTAAAGGGACACATTTTGGCCATCTTGAAAATGGCATGTACGAGCTGGTTTGGAGGATCCCTGCTGAAACAGGTGATACCGGCTGTATTTTATGGTGAACCTTGTCAAATGTTGCAATCGCCCTCTGGCCCGAGATTTGTTAACCATAGAAAATGTGTTCCACTGGTTCGAGGTTGCTTTTTTATTTACCAGTGGAACCCGTTGATGCATCCAGAAGGATGCCACACACACACACAACCACCCGCACAAATGTGGCAAGCTTGCGGATGGGGACCCTAACACAACGGGATCCCATTGCTTCGTGTGCTTTTCGCATCCAAGAACACTTGCTAGAGGGGTCACCCAATGTCATATGCAATGGGGATGTAGTTCCTAAGTGGGGGTCCATCCAAGTATCCCCAGCCCCAAATGAGACAAAACCCGATATTTTGAGGCAGAATCCCAATTTGGGAACCTCCCCAAAAGCTTTCTCCAACCGTTTGGCGTGTTTTTGAGCCCCCTTTCTTCTGAACACCCTCGTGGACGTCTCTAAACAACAAATAAAACTGAGGGCCGCGGTGTTTTTTTGGTGGGTCGTTTTGGGGAAGCCAAATGGAGAACCCCGTGCCATGGGTCCAATAGAGACCCGCGCTTCTGAGGCCTTGGTGAAGGCGCAGCTGAGGGCCTGGCACCAAAGCCACCCCGGCGGCGACGTGCCAAATGAGCTGCCGGCGGCCTGCGAGGCGCGGGCGGGTAGGTTTCATAGGTTTCATAGGGAGCCACCTAAGGGGTTGGAATTCGGATAGGAATTTGTGTTCCAAGTTTGGTTTGAATAGAATTGATTTAGACTGCAACTGGGCACGTACAAGTACTATGTAAGAATTGGAATGGACATGGACCTTTTTAGCCCCACCGCATTCATCCCTTATGAATGACACCCAAATTGGAAGACCGACACGTTTTTCTTGGGGGAAACGAAGGGCTATTTTAGTGGGATGACTCCAGGTTTTGAAGGAGTTTTCCAGGGGCTGATTTGTTTGTGTTCCATGTTTGGGGGGCTGAAAGGGCTTTGTTTTTGGTGGGCGACCTCCAGAGGAGCGAATTTTCCAGGCGGGTAGTTTCATGTTTCCACCAACAGTTTGGACAGGTAAAGCAAGAGACCGACGAACCACAATTGGACATCATGTTTAAGGCTTAACCAAGATTCGGGATCTTTCACGCGAGGGGGCGTGCTGTGAATCCTCCCTGGAAACTCTTCCATTAGTTTTATGCTGGTCCAAAACGCGGCAGTCCAAAAAGAAGAGGGTCCTATGTTCGGTTTCGATGTGCAAGCCCTACGATCGGCTTCCCTTTAAACCCTGTCAACTGTGCCGCAGGTCTTGGTGAAAGAGCTGCTGGGCGCTCGTGCGAGTTCAGAAAAGGAGTGGGACTTGGAAGGGTTTCGAAAACCGATACGGTTTGAAGGACCTCCACATGAAGTGGGACGCAAAGCGGGCCCAACAAAGGTATCCGCTCGCGGTCTGATTCGCGGAAGTTTCTTTGATGCACGAGCCACGTTACTACAAGGTTGAATGGCAGAGAGCCCACTAACCCCTCGCAGGGTTGCTACCTTGTTTTCTAGGTGCTGAGTCCGGGGCCCGGGGGTTAGGAGGTGGCCTCCTTTGTTCGCTACACCCACCTGGACTTCTTGCGTACGGAGGGCCCTTCGCCCAAGCCGCGGTCAGAGGTCGCTTGGGATGTTGAGGGGGCAAAGGGCGGCACGTGGGGTTTCAGGCATTTCCCATTTTTGGCCTCCAAAAGTGAAAGGATCAAGTGACAAGTTTGAAACCTATATGTTTTTGGAAATGGAAACCGCTGGGAGTGTCAATGAACCCCCAGCAGTCTCCTCCTCTGAGTTCTTTTTGTACAAGAAGCAAGGTTGGTTCGACTTTGAGTTGCATGCCCGCCTCTGGAAGGGGGGGGGAGAACCACTTTGGGGGTTCCAACTCCCAATTTACACACTTCCCCAACTTCGGCAAGTCGCCGACATCTGGTTCTTTTGGCACACGTTCATTTTCCACGATTCAGGCTGAGTGGCGCCAGCTCTTCCCTCGGTACCCGGCCGAAGCGGACTCCACGGAGGGCTACCTGCGGTGCTTTGAGGTGTCGGACGGTGCGGGCATCCGTGGGGCGCTGGAGACGTACGGGCTCTGCGTGGTGCAGGCGCGGCTGGGTGGTTTTGGAGGAAGCTCAGACTTTTCCTCTAGGGTTGTAAACATCACCTTTTGGGCTGATAGTTTCCTTTCCGTAGCGCGATATTCGCCTTGTTCTTGTCAAGCTTGGTTCTGGCCCAAAGGAAAGGTAAGTTAGACTCATCCCTTCAAAATGCAACTTGGCAAACTTGGCAAAGACACCGTGCCCGGTTTGGTGTCCTTTTGATTCAGTTTGGTTGAACATAGAGATTCCACGGTTGTTGAAGCTGTTTCCTTCCAATCATTAACTGTTGGAGCGAGGCACCGGGCAAACTATTTTCATCTTGATTTCACCTTTCAAGATAGCGCCAGGAAAGGGGTACCAACTCACACAACAACACTCACCCATCCATGGGTGGTCACAAAACCCTGGACCCCTTTTTCGCGAGGGTGCGGGAGAAGGGCGACGCGACATTTGCTTGTCTCTCGATAGGTGCTGTCCAGGGAGGAGTGCGAGGCCACCGTGGGCGCCATGTTCGAGGAGATCAACGCGCTGCGAAGCGCCAAGGACATCCAAGGCGCGAGGTCTCGCGGGCAGGGAGAACCGAGAACGGAGCAGCACGGGCTTTGGCCGAGCTGTCCGAATTTGTTCGAGTCAAGATAATTAGCCCCGCGTGATGTTTGAACAAGGAGTATTAAGAGTAGACAACCCTTCTACGAGGCATCCTGTTGGCGAGGACCCGCTCAATTCTGCTTTCCCCCTTTCCCACCAGCAACAGCTATGGGCTGGAAGGCGGCACCAAAGGTGTGCGTGTGTGTGTGCTTTTCGGTGTTGGGTGTGTGGGTGTGGGTGGGACATGACTGCCAAGTCACAACACACCCGCTCAAGAGTATGGAGGCACTGAAGGAGCCTCCATGCATTCAAGTGTGCAACCTTGACGAATCTATTCCGGGTCCGACCAACACGAGTCCTAAGAATCTCCAAGCACGTACGAGCCTTGCTAGGTGCAGTTGGGCGAGTGTAGATGGCACAGCTCCAACCCATTTTGGTTTAGGAGTCCTCCCTTCAAAGAAAGGGGTGCCATCTAATTCCACCTTAGTGCAGCGGGGTCTTTGGCTTGCTCGGGGTGTGGCCACTGAAGAGTGCTAGGAACATTTCCTAGGAGTCCAATTTAAGCAATCGTGCCCCAAGGCATGCGGCAAAGTAGCTATTTGGACGTCTCCCAAAATTGTGGCTTCCCTTTGGTTTCCGTTAAGGTACGAACGAAAGTCACCTTCCAGGCCGAA